CGAAGGCTCACACCTGGGGACTGATGAATGCCAGACAAGCGCCCCATTATCTGGGCTGTACCCGTTTTTGCAGTGGTCACTTTCACCACGAACCTTTAGTGGACAGTTAACAGGGGAAAGTGACATTGTTTATCCCAAGTCTCAATTCTAATTCTGTTGCTCCTTGTTTCCAAACTTACACTGTCTCTGTATTCCTGCCCAATAAATCCAAATCGTTAGCGGCCTCCAGAGGCCCTTCCTGAGCTAGCCCAGTCTATGCTTCCTGAGCTAGCCCAGTCTACGCTTCCTGAGCTAACCCAGTCTACGCTTCCTGCCCTGCCTCCTCTCTTGTTGGCAGTCTCAACTTCCTTAAATTGCTGGTCCTTGGCCAGAGCTTGACTTTGTTCATGCTACTCATTACATCTGAAGTAATTTACCATTCGATGGCATCCCTTCTTCAAAGTTTAATCTTGACCATTTAAGCATAAAATTGTCTTGGACTTCTCTAAATTATTACTATACTCAGAACATATTTTTCTTATGGGACATTTCCAATTTCTCAGCGTCCAATTAGAACCTAGGGTAGGATCTGTGCTTTGCTCTTTGTCTCTCTGTCGTCTTCCAGCCAAGTGTCTTTGATAGTAAAGTGCTGGAAAACATTAATTGAATGAGTAGCTATAAAGGCTAAAATTTATCAGATTAATTGATTTTTTTTTTCAGTCGCAGACCTGAAAGATGAAAAAACAAGGAGGCCATTGCTTTTGGAACGGTTGATGCGTTACATTTGTATCATGAGTCTCAGAAAAACACATTAGGGGACAAGGAGATGTGGCCTGGTAGTACAGTGTTTGCTTGTCTCGAGTGAAGCCCTGAGTCCTGTCCCCGGCATGGTATAAACTAGACAGGGTGGTGTACGCCTGGAATCCTAGCACTCAGGAGGTAGAGACAGGAGGATCAGAAGTTCAAGTCATCCCTACCGTACAGTGAATCTGAGGTCCGTCTGGGCCACGTGAGGCCCTGGAGACTATTATTCTTACAGTTCAGGTATCCGAGCAATTTGTCTCATTTTGTTTAGTTTTGAGAGAAAACCTGTGTCGTAGATGTAGAACAAAGGCACACGAAGACTGATGGACCTGGAGACGCTCTGTACTCTGGAGACCAGCGCTGTGTTTACAGTACCCCTTTGCCTCTGCAGGATGGAGCTGCGAAGGTGATTTGTATGGCCTGGTCCCAGAACAACGCTAAATATGCTGTCTGCACAGTGGACCGAGTGGTATTGCTGTACGATGAGCATGGGGAGCGGGAGAGACAAGTTCTCCACCAAGCCAGCTGACATGAAGGTAAAGAGGACTCGCATGTGCTCCAACACGTTATCCGAGAAAGCTGTGTGATCTGCCTTCTAGCCGTAGACATGGGCAATGGTCTACTCTATTTCTCGCTATAAACTTTCTGGTCTTTTGGGAAATGTGTGTGTTTTCTTTTCTCCTTCATTTCTACTCATTATCTTTGTTTTTACTCCTAGTGTGGCTGGAAGAGCTACATGGTAAAGGGCATGGCTTTCTCCCCTGATTCCACTAAAATTGCCATCGGACAGACTGACAACATCATCTATGCCTACAAGATTGGAGAAGATTGGTGAGGACAGGATGGGGGTTAGGCGGGTTGTGGCCACTAAAGAAGAGTTGGGCATGGGAAATACCTCGCTGGGATAACGATGACATCAGGCATGGAAGGCAGGGGCTCTCTAGAGCCTGATTCTATTGTGTCCACCTCTGCCTGCCCCACCTGTCCTGCAGTCCCATCCCTGGAGGGATGAGTGTAAGCCAGCAGAAGGTCCTGAGAGCCAGTGATATGCTGTGTCATTGGCATAGCTCCAGGGCTCCTTGGGGACCCACTCACTTCTCCATCAGACCTCCCACAGAGGGCCATGTTGGGCAGTTCATTGGGAAGTGATTTTTAAGGTTGCTTCCTTGCCTTTTGTCTGACAGGGGTGACAAGAAGGTCATCTGTAACAAGTTCATCCAGACGGTAAAGTTCAGAGGTGAGCCGCACCTGCTTCCCTCCTTGTAAATGTAACAGGAGTTGCCTTTTTCAATGTCTGACCCCGACTTGACCTGCTAAAGGATGGTGTTGTCACCTGCTTGAGAGCCTTGTTGTGTCCGCTGCCTGCCTTTTCCCCCTGGAGAGGACTAGAATGACGGTGTGTGGTGGGTGGCGGTTGTTCTGAGTGTGCCAGTCCACACAGGCGGGTCACCCTTTCACCCCTTCTCATACAGAGTGCTGTCACCTGTCTACAGTGGCCTGCAGAGTACATTATTGTCTTTGGACTGGCTGAAGGCAAGGTAACGGAGGAGAGGGAGACACAGGTGAGGTATTGGGGGGGATAGTGTCCTGGGGTGCCGGGCAATATGGTTCATCTTTCCCCTGGAGCTCAAGTGCGTACTTGAGAAAAATGCATGAGGACTAATTTTGTCATTTGGCATTTTTACTTCTGTTTCTCCGTGCCTGGCTGACACTGTAAGTAGCCTAGCCAGACTTGTTTGGTTTTCAGGTTCGATAAGCAAACACTAAAACTAACAAGTCGTCTACCATCTATGGGACAGACTCGTATGTGGTGGCGCTGACAACCAAGTGAGTAACAGAAGTAGACTGGGACTGTCAGGACAAAGCTGCATTTGATGGAAAGGGGACTGTCACGGGGCGGAAGTCCCTCCCTCTGTGCCCACCTCGCTGCCTCTGCCCTTCAGTTGCTCTGGGAAAGGCATCCTCTCAGGTCACGCAGACGGCACCATCGTCAGGTATTTGTTCGATGATGAAGGCTCCGGAGGGTCACAGGTATGAAGGGCGCACACTCACTCTGGGGTGGGGTGGACATTCCAGGAGCCCTCCCGGGGAAACTGCAGGTTTAAGCACCATGACTGGAAAAGGGCAAACTTGGAGAGAAGCGTTTGGTGCCATCACGGAGACTGGTGTTCAGGAGGCTAGAACTCACTATTTATAGGGAGGAGTGGGCGGAAGGGACCTTGAAAGAAGGGAAATAAAGACTCTAAGGGGGACAAAAAGTGAAAATTATTTCCATTTATGTAAATACATACATATACACAAATGTATGTATATATATATATATATATACATGTTTATGTAATGTATATACATCCAAATGCATAGGAGAAAGAAGTTAACAGCCCATCAAGATACCTCATCAGGTAAAGGCGCCCAGTGCCAAACCTGACAGGACCCTTGCCATGCAAGGACAGAAGTGACTTCCGCAAGTCATCCTCTGCCCTTCGACCATGTGTGCACATATGCAAATGTGTGCACAAAAACACACACAAATAAATAAGATGTTAAAGAATTAACTATTTTTTTGGAAAAAGAAAAGATAGACATACAGGGAAATTTGCTGTTTTTCTCTGTATAATTTAGTACTGTGGAATCGTTTACATTGTGAGTTACCCACATAATTCAATTTAGCCCTTCTTGAAGCCATGTACTCTCTTGGACCTAGACAGTGTTGGTTACTGTGTGTCGTCTCTCTTTGGGTGGCTTTACTAGTACGTACCAGAGGTCTCAACACACCACTGTGAGTACACGGCCCGTGTACACGTGGCATGCGTGTGCTCATGATACAGAGACAGGCTGTGAAGCCTTCAGAATTCGGGCGTGTTCATGTGGGAAATGCTGGCAGGAAGGCTCACTTTCTCTCCGGGGTGGGATGGTCAGGAGTGTGTGGATCAGCTGCTAGCCTAGCATTCTCAACGAACAATTGAAGTATTCTGTCTGTCCCAGGGGAAGTTGGTTAACCACCCATGCCCACCGTATGCCTTGGCTTGCGCAACCAACAGCATCGTGGCAGCAGGCTGTGATCGGAGGATTGTGGCCTATGGAAAGGAAGGCCACGTGCTACAGACTTTTGACTACAGCCATAATCCTCAGGAACGTGAATTCACCACAGCTGCAGCAAGTCCTGGAGGCCAGTCTGTCATGCTAGGAAGCTACGACAGGTAGGTCCCCCGGCCAGTTGCATCTTTTTTTTTTTTTTTTTTTTTTTTTTTGATTTTCGAGACAGGGTTTCTCCGTAGCTTTTGGTTCCTGTCCTAGAACTAGCTCTTGTAGACCAGGCTGGCTTCAAACTCACAGAGATCCGCCTGCCTCTGCCTCCCGAGTGCTGGGAGTAAAGGCGTGCACCACCATCGCCCGGCCCAGTTGCCTCTTCTACCTTTCTCTGTGAGCTCTGCCCTAGCCAAGTTCTGAACTGCAGCGGGTACCTGGACAGAAGCAATGTCTGTTGAAAGGGATTCTCAGATTGTCGTCTGCTTCAGGATGCGCTGTGCCGACTCAGCCTGGACTCCACAGCAGAGGCCATCGCGTTCCCCATGTCCCCCTGCCTTGTCCCCACTATGCCATTGTGTTCTAGTTTGAGAGGAAGACTAAGTAGCCGTCCTCATCGCCAGTGCCTGCACTGGCATGGTCTTTAATGTAGTCGCCATTTGGTGAATGAATAAAGAAACAGCCAAGCAACTAGGGTCAGGTCTCTTTGTCTGTCTGTCTTTATGTCCTTCCAATCTCACGTGTCTCCTTAGGTTCCGTCCTTCTTTGACTCCTACACTCTGTTTCTTCCTCTTCCCTCTCCTGGCCGTCCGTTTGTCTCACTTGTCCTGCTGTCCTGGTGTCTCTACTTCTGGCTTTTGTGTTGTTGTTGGTTTTTGAGTGAGGGTCTCATTCTGTGGCCCCAGCTAGCCTGTAACTCACTGGGTAGACCAGGCTGGCCTCCAACTTACAGTGATCCTCCTGCCTCTGCCTCTCTCCTGTTGGCATTACAGGCGTGTACCACCACACCTGGCATCCATCTTCTACCTGCTCCTTTCACCCCTACTCCCTCAACTCCCCGCACCTTTTCCCCTCCCGTTGGGCTGCCTCGCTGGTCTTCCCTTTTGCGTTTGCTTCCCTTTCTGGTAGAGTGAGATGCTTCCCTATCAGTTCTGGTCTATTTTCACTCTTTACCTTTCTAGACTCCGGGTGTTCAACTGGAGTCCTCGAAGAAGCATCTGGGAAGAGGCCAAGCCCAAGGAGATTGCCAACTTATACACCATCACAGCCTTGGCCTGGAAGCGGGACGGCTCCCGGCTCTGTGCGGTGTGTTGTTAGGAGCCCCTTTCTGTACTGGCGATTGTCTCCAAACTACAGTAAAATAGAAACTACTCCCTATGCCAAGGGAGTCGCTCTACTCTGACACAAGAGAACTCCAGCTGCCTTGTGACTTCAACCTAAAAAAATCTACTGTTAAAGGCAGGAAAGGGAAACTCACACTTTCCAGGAGGCCTTGAGGGACACGCTTGTCCAGGACAGCCTGATTTCCCCTCATTGTCCAACCCACATGTGATCCCTGTAAGTCCTGGGATTGCCACTTTTTTTTTTCTGATATGTTCAGAACCTGCCCACCCTTTTGCTGGCCACTTCTGTCTAGATTGTGACACTGAGGTCTGAGGTCTTGGGGTATATCCAGATACCGTCCTTGGCCAGCGCGCCGTGCATCGCCTTCCATGCTGTCCCCCCCTCTCTCAGGGCACCCTCTGTGGTGGGGTGGAACAGTTTGACTGCTGCCTCCGAAGGAGTATTTACAAGAACAAGTTTGAGCTGACGTATGTGGGACCCAGCCAGGTGAGCAGCTGATGACCTAGCATGCTGAGACCTCTCGTGGCTCATCTGTCCTTGTAACATTTCCCCCACCTGCTGGCCACAGCCACAGTGTCAAATTTAACCTTCCTCCCTCTGGCAGAGCTATCGTAGGGAACTGAATGTGTCAGGGCAACTTCTGGCAACCCTCCTGCTACGTAGTTGTTCTAACCCATCGCAAGCAAAGGTTTCACACCTGGCTCAAGAGATACAGGGATTGGTGCCTGTATCTCCCCAGTGTGAAGCTGTTCTCAGCGCCGCCCACTAGAGTTGTGGACGTGTATGATCACTGGCGAACTGTAGTGCGCAGGACTCTGTTGTCCCAGAGGCACGCGTCTCACTCTCCCACTTCCCTTCCTTCGCTCTTATTACCAGTTTGTTCCTGGATCTTTCCAGTCTCTCCAGAAATGTTTATCCTTTCTCTGCTGTGTTAGATCTGTTAAGGACTGAGAGTACAAAGGTAATTTATCTGTAAGACATCGCACCAGGGCCATAGAAACGGCTCTTACTATTCTTACAGAGAACACAAGTTCAGTTCCCAGCGCCATGTTAGTGTCTCACAATCACTGGGTCTTCAGCCTTGGGGATCAACACCCTCTTCCGACATCCGGCACCTGCACTCACCTTTGTGCACACCCACCCATGTAATTCAAATTCTTTGTAAAAAAGACATTGTGCTCTGGTATGTGGCCAGTGAGCTTGAGGCCAGCCTGGTCTATATAGCAAATTCCAGGCCAACCAGGGCTACATGTCTCAAAAAAGAAAACAAGTAGAAGAGGAAGAAAAAGAAAGAAAATCTTAGCATTTAGGAGGATGGGCAGTTGGAGGTCACCTTAGGCACATGATGATATAATAACGATAATAATAGGTTCATAATTATATAACAGTAACGATGATATAGTATTCTGTCTTCATTGGTAAAGAGCTTTGTACTAAGAAGTGCGGGAACAAAGTGAGTGATTAGTGTTACCGAGTAGAGCTCTCAGAATCGAATGGCCATGGACAGCCCAGGCCATGGGGAAGTATTCCTAGGTAGGAAACCCCTGTGTGGGTGCAAGTGTTGTCCTTAGCAACAGCATCCCAGGCCGAGGGAGAAACAAGGTATCCTGGAGTTACGAGAGGGACCAGAGCACCTTCACTCTTCTCCTGCTCTGGGAAAGCCTGATGGGTTGGACTGGTCCCTTCCCGGGTGATAGTGAAGAACCTGTCTTCAGGGACCAGGGTGGTGCTCAAGTCCCACTATGGCTATGAGGTAGAAGAGGTGAAGATCCTGGGGAAGGAACGGTACTTGGTGGCTCACACATCGGACACACTGCTGCTCGGAGACTTGAACACCAATCACCTCAGTGAGGTAGGAACCGAGAGAGTCAGGGTGGGTAATGGGATGTCTTGGCTTGCTAATTCTGAAGGTGCGGGCCCTAAGAAGATTCCCCATAGGATACCATTCTGATATTATTTCCTGGAATATAAACTTCCACAGTCAGACTGGTTTCTCTTGGAAATATGAGGATCAGAGCAAGAGTCTGATACAGAGCACCTTTTGTGTAACTTCAAAACCTCCCTGAATACCATCTCTCTTCCTTGCCACTGACATCCTCCAGCCTTGTCTTGGGTGATTGTCTACATTGTCTATGATGTTTTCTCCTCACTTTGCAGATAGCCTTGCAGGGATCTGGTGGCAATGAGAAATATTTCTTTGAAAATGAGAATGTGAGTAGCCGCGATTCCCTGCTAAATTTAGGGATTTTCCTGTTTAGACATCATCAAATCCTAGACTCTTTAGAATTGGAAGGACTGTATTTTTTATATTTATGTTATTAGTAACCCTTATTATTAGTAACTAGTAACAATAGAAATGTAATTTGCATTTCACAATCTCCACTTTATGATTTCTGTCACCAAATGTTCCAAGCATGGAAGGAAGAACTAAGACTAGCTTAGGATCGTGCAGAAGGTGTAGAGACGAGCATGCCACATAGTATGTCTGTAAGGATGGGACTGGCGTCAGCTACCCTGTCCGTACTTACTGCTCTGTGAGCTTACCAAAGTTACTTCATCTTTCTTAGTGTCTTAACCCACACAGTGAACGAAGACAGCACCTATGTCAGAGGGAAGCACTCATCCTTCCCTGCCACATAATCGTTAATAAACCCCAGCTGCTGAGAGTCATGACCTATTGTTAATACTTGCTTATCCACGCCTAGTGCTGTTAAGTCAGAACTTTTTGTTGCATTTATATTAATTTTTTACCTCATCTCTTACTCATGAGCATTTAGAGTGGTTTTTTGTTTGTTTGTTTGTTGGGGGGGGTTCATTGTTTGATTTGGTTTTATTTTATTTTATTTGAGACAGGGTTTCTCTGTGTAACCCAGGCTGGCCTCGAAATCAGAGAGATCCACCTGCCTCTGCCTCCCATGTGCTGGGACGAAAGGTATGTGCTGCCACAGCCTGCTGAGTATTAATTTTTTAAAGGTTTATTTTAGTTGAATGGCTATTTTGCCTGCATGTATGGCTGTGCGCCATGTGCATTCCTTATGCCTTTGGAGGCCAAAAGAGGGCAGTGGGATCCCTGGAACTTGGTGGGTGTGAGCTGCCATGTGGGTGCTGGGGATTGAACCTGGGTCCTCTGGAAGAACAGTCAGTACTTTTAACCACTGAGCCATTTCTTCAACCCCTAGTTGTTTGGGGGGTTTGTTGTTTGGTGTGGTTTTAATCACATTACTGCTACTTGCTGAGGTCCATGCTTAGAGCAGAATTGCTGAATCATAGGAGCAGCTGTGCCTTCAGCCTGACTAAGTGTCTCCCATTGCTCTCCAAAGAGGACGATCAATGTCCGTTCCTCTCCCAGTCAGAGTTCCTATTCTTCCACATCCTCTCCAGGACTTGAAATGCATGGTGTGTGTGCAATGCCGTTTCACTTACTTATTGTTCACTTGGATTTCTCTTCTGTGACTTCCAGTTTCTCATCCCTTATGCATTGCGAAAGTCAAGTGGCCTCTTTGTTAGAGATGTGAAATTGTGTATATAAACCTCTGATGGTTACTTACATTGTAGTTTTTTTCTCAGTATGTGTGGCTTGAGTTTTCTCTCTTTTAGGTATCTTTAGTATTGAGACATTTAAATTTTATTGTAGTTATTTATGTAATGGAACCGGTTGGGGGAAGCATTATGCCATGGCACTCAAGTAGAAGTCAAAAGACAACCTGAGAAGCCGGGCAGTGGTGACACACACCTTTAATCCCAGAACTCAGGAGGCAGAGGCAGGTGGATCTCTGTGAATTCAAGACCAGCCTGGTCTACAGAGCAAGTTCCAAAGGTACACAGAGAGACTCTGTCTTGAAAAAAAAAAAGACACTCTGAGACGGTAGATCCCTCCTTTCCACTGTGTGGGTCTAGAGGATCAGACTCAGGCCCTGTAGCACACACCTTTAAGTATTAATTGAAGGGCCAATGGGATGACTCAGCCTCTAAAGATACTGGTCCAAGCCTGATGACTCAGCTTTAGTCCCTCAGGAGAAGACCAACTCCTGCAAGTTGTCTTCTGACTTCCACGTGTGCTCCTTACAAAATAGAAACAAAGAACTAAAAATGTAATTAACAAATTCTTAGTTTAAAAAATTGAGTCTAGGGATGTAGTTGAGTGGCAGAGTGCAGGGGAGCCCTGTGTTCAATCACCAGTGCTGCCAAAATAATAGTAATAGTAATTGCTGGTTTTTGAGGTCTCATTTAAAAACTTTTCCCCATATTCCCTCCTATATTTTAACATTCTTAAGTTTTGCTTTCCATCTGGAATTTATTTTTGTATGTGATGTGGGTAGGGTTTTAACTTTATTTTTTCCATCTGTGTAACCATTTACTGAAAGCCTACTAATTTGTTATACCATCCCTGTCATAAGTCAAGCTTTCGTATACATATGGGCCTCTTCTTAAGATAGTTTCCTATTTCATGAATATTACATTTCACATCTGAGCTCAGAAACGCAGGTATCTGCACTGGGAATGATATGTAGGCCAGGAGGCCTAATTCTCGTGGCGGTGATAACTCAGACCTCAGACCCGTCCATTCGCTCACGCCATGAATTTTACATATTTTTCAATATATGTAAAATGATATTCAGTTCTCTGAGTCACCAGTCCCTTTTAATGTAATTTATATATAATTTCAGGGTCCCTATGTGGTCCTGGAGGCTCTAGCAGACTTGGCTTGGTTTGGCTTTGGTTGCTGTGTTGTTTTTCAGTGTTTGAAGGCAGGGTCTCATGTTGCCCTGACTGGCTTTGAATTTCTGGTCCTCTTGTCTCAGACCCCTGGGTACTGGGATTATAGTCAGTATGATATGAGTCACCATGTCTACTGTCATAATTTCTGTCTCCAGGTTATCAGTCTGTCTGCCGGCTGGTCCCATTGGTTATGCTCCTGCCTCAACCTTTTTGCCTTGTGCTTGAGCTCTGGGTGTGAGCCACTGAGCTTCACTGAGTGAGCTCTCCTCAGGGCTTCCTTCTTCGTCACCTCACTTGTGCATCCACTGCTCTGGTGACTCCGCGCAGCCAGGGTGACATCACCAGGTCATTTCATTCCTCAGCTCTCTCTGGTACTCAGTAACACGGTCACCCTCTTTCACTGTCTTTTCAAGACAGGGTCAAACGAGGCAGCTGGAACTGGCCTACATAGAAGGGCCTGGCCTCAAACCCCCACTCTTTCTGAGGGCTGGGTTATAGCAGTATACCACCATTTCTCCATGAGATCTTCTATCTAGTTGCCTATAAAGCCAAGTAAAACATTTATAATTCTAGACAAGTTTATTGACAGTATTTCTCTGTGTGGCCTTAGCTGTTCCTGACTGTCCTTGAACTCTCTCAGTAAACCGGGCTGGCCTCAAACTCACAGAGATCCACCTGCCTCTGCCTCCTGCATGTTGGGATTAAAGGTGTGTGCCACCACACTTGGCAAGACCCAGTATTTTAAGCATCTTAGAAAAATCGTGCAATATTGGTCATTTGTGGTCCCCATTGATACCTCTGGACTGATAAAATGTTCCTAAATCCCAACATGATTATAAAGCCAGCATTCTAGAGACCAAATGCAGCCCTCTACATGGCGGGGTTCGCTCTTCTTACCCTGTCTTCTTTGCAGTGGATCTGATTGGCAGCTACAACATTGGTACTATCAGTCACGAGAGCCATGTGGATTTGCTGGAACTTAATGAGACTGGGCACAAGCTTCTCTTCAGGGATCGGAAACTTCGTGTGAGAGGGGTTACTAGGGTTTTAGGCCTGGGCTGGTCCACAAGCTGTTACCTGGGACTGTGGGGGCAATGCAGGACATAAGTTCTTGGTTCCATATGCCATTAGCATAGCAAAGTGGACGAAGGATAGTCTATACGCTGTCAGAACCTGACCTAGGGACCCTGACAGAGACTGTTTACAGGCTGCGTCCTCGTGGAGCTGCTTCCCCTCCTCAGGTCCAGCTGCCCTTTGCCCCATCCCACTGCCGCAGTGTGCTTCAGCCACACTTAGCTGAAGGCATGGACACTGACTCGAGCAGTCTCTTGTCAGGGTGGCATCTCCAAAGAGGTTCGCTTTTCTTGTGATGCTTCATTCCAGTGAGAGCCTCACTGCAGACTGTCAGCTCACTTAGTTTGTTTGTAGCCCTACCTGCTAATCTGGCCCAGGGTTACTCTCCTGTCTGACCTTCACCTGACTATAGCTTGAATTAGATTGTGGTTGTTTGGTCATCTCATACTTGACCAGTCAGGATATACCAACTTAGCACAAACTCCAAGGGCTGGCAACTCAACACATAACTGACTGGTGGATCATTTCACTGTGGGGGAAAGGGACAGAACCAAATGTCATCAGTGCACGCCTCCTAATTGTGCTGTCTCCCTCTCCAGTTGCATCTATATGATATTGAAAGCTGCTCCAAGACAATGATCCTCAACTTCTGCTCCTACGTGCAGTGGGTTCCCGGGAGCGATGTGCTGGTAGCCCAGAACCGAAACAGCTTGTGTGTGTGGTACAACATTGAGGCACCCGAGAGAGTCACCATGTCCTCTATCAGGGTACGTTGGTGCCAGGAGGCCCAGGTGTGCCGCTCTAACTCATTAGCGCTCCAAGGAGAAGTATGTGGAGACCGTGTGGTGTTCTCAACCCACCACCCACAATCGCTATGATAAAACTGGCAAGCCAAACTTTCACCCCCTCCCCATACTGGCATGGCCTCCAGAATTATCCTTGCTTGCGTTTCCTGACCTTGTGTTGCATTCCTAGAGATGAGGCCACATTCCAGTGGCCCTGGGACTATATAAAGTCACCATATGGCATTCTTTGCAGTCTAGAAGACAGACCCCAGTAGGAGGGATGGTTCCATGCCATCATCCTTGTCCTTGTTCTTGGCCATTCAAAATCCCTCCTTTTTCAAATTACACATAAAACACTCTTTACTGTCCCATCGCAACACCACACACCACACACACACACACACACACACATCCTCCACATACATACCACACACACACACCACACACACCATACAACAATACACCACACACACACACATCCTCCACATACACACCACACACACACACCACACACCACACACACAGCACATACCACACACACACACCACACACCATATACCACACACACACACACCACACACACACACACCACACACACACACCACACACCACACACACAGCACATACCACACACACACACACCACACACCATATACCACACACACACACACACCACACACACACACACCACACAGCACACACCACACACACACAACACATACCACACACACACACCACACACCATATACCACACACATACACACCACATACCACACACCATATACCACACACACACACACACCACACACCACACACACACACCACACACCACATACCACACATACACACCATACAACAATACACCACACACCACACATCACACACACACATCACACACACACATACACACACACCACACACATACCACACACTCATATGCAAGCCCTTGAAGGCTCTCAAGTTAGCCACCATGTAACTTTCTCTCTCCCCACAAATAATATAGGACTTTGCAAGGCTTTGGCTTTGGTTACCTCTCTTTTTTCTTTGTTGAACAATATTTTCATTCTAACCTTTAAATTTTTAAATTACATTTATTTATTTTGTGTGTGTATGCATCTATGGAGGCCAGAGGACAACTTGTGGGAGTCTGCTCTTCCCACCATGCGGGTCCCAGGAGTGAATGCAGGCCAACAGGCGCCTCTACCTGTCGACCTTCTCTCTGGTTCTTTGTGCTAATCTTCGTTGTTGCTGCTGCTGCTGTGCTGGAATCAAACCCAGGCTTCAAGCACTCTGCACAAGTATTTACCACTGCGCTTCCAGGAGTAGTAAAGGGTTCCTTTAGTTTTGATGGGTTTTTGTTTTGTTTTTCTTTCTTTTTTTTTTGTGTGGGGTTGTTTGTTGTTGTTTTGGTTTGGTTTGGTTTTGTTTTTTGAGGGATTTTTTTTTAAAATTTATTTATTTAATTTTTTAAGAGAGAAAACAATCTTTTTTTCATTTTACATGCCAATCCCAGTTCCCACTCCCTCTCCTCCCTCCCATTCCCCTGCTTTTACCTCCTAAGTACTTGAGTGCTGGGATTAAAGATCTGGGCCGCCATGCCTTGCTATAAGATTTTTTTTAACTCCCAAAATGGGCATCATTCATATTCAATGTCTCATTCTTTCTCTCCTCTCCTTCCTCCCTGAATGACCTGGAACTGGAACTTGTAACCCAGGCTGGCCTCCATGAGTGCTGGTATCACAAACACGGGCCACCACACGTGATTTATGACACTATTACCTTATATGGACAGAACTTAGATTTCCCCACTACCATATTTCTTCCTACTTTTTCTTCTTGCAGTTTTGGTCTCCCCTCAGGAATTAATTTTCTGCCTGGAGAATATCACTTAGAAATCCCTTTGGTGAGGGTCTCTTTAGTGGAAGATTATACTCTCTCAGGTTTTGATGATCTGAAAGTAGCTTTGTTTAGCTTTTGTTCTAAAAACCCTTTGGGACTAAGTACCCAACTTCAAACTGACAGCTAACTTTTCTTAGCTTTTTGTAACATGTTATCCCAATAGATAACATGTGTTGTGCACATGTGTGCAATGCCTGCTGAGGCCAGAAGAGGGCATCAGACTCCTCAGAGCTGGAGGTACCGGCCACTTGCTGTGAGTGCCCATGTGTACTGGGAACCAAGCTTGGGCCCTCTGCCATAGCAGTGTTCTTAATCTCTGAGCTATCTACTCTTGTCCCTTTGGTTGCTCCTAAAACCTACTTTTTTTTTTTTTGGATGTTTTGACACTTGACTACAATTTTTGTACATAGTATTTTTCCTCATGAAGGGGTCTTGCCATATCGCACAGACTGGCCTCAGATTTCGGGGCCCAGGCTGTCCTCCTGCCCTGCCTCTTGAGAGATAGGGACTGTAGTCACGGGCCACCCATCGGGTTAGAGGGTTTGGGGGTTGTTTTTGCAGTGGATGGCTAGCGACTGAACCTGTACATTAGAAGTAAATTCTCTGGTACTAAGCTGTACTCCAGCCTTTTTACATGAATTTAAATGATATCCCATGCAGCATATGTTGGGTTTCATGTAGTTCTGAACACACACATCGTGCTCAGTCTTGGGAACTTCTCGGCCACTCTCTCTCGGAACGCTGTTACCATTCTCCCAGGATTTTGACTCAGCATATGCTACGTTTCTTGTTCCATCTTGTTTGCCTTTTCAGCTTCTTCTGTGTGTCCTTCTTGTGCTCCATGAACATTCCAGATAGTATCTTCAGATCTCTCCTTCAGCTCCTTGGCTCACTCTTTTCCTTGTCTGCTGCTTATGCCACAATTGGGGTTTTGCTTCAGAGTTAAATTTGGGCCAGGAACTTCTCCATGTTCAATGTCTCAGGCTTCACTTCCATAAAATTTTATTTGATTCTTTTTCCAGTATGCCCAGCCACTCCAGTCTTTCCTTAGTTAATTTTCCATGTCATTTTTATATCTTCAAATATGTAATATTTAATTTTATTACAATGCATTATCTGTAACTGCCATTTTTAATATCTAAAATGCTTAAAGACCTAAAATTATTGTTTACAATTGCAATTTATTCTTTCGTACTGGTTGTGTTGTATGTGCGTGTGCTTGCACACATACACCCACATGTTACTCTGAAGGCAGTCTCTACTTGTTTTCCTGCTGAGATGGTTGTTTGCTTCTGTAGCAATCAGAATCCATGGTAAGGCTGTGCTCCGCTTGCTTTGGTGCCCTTTGCTACAGAACGGGCTAGGCTGGGTTTACTCAGAGACTGACTCAGCCCATCCACGTGCTGAAGGCCTGAGGCTCATTGTCGGATACATGCATTTGCCTTCAGAGCAGCACCCCCTTTCCTGCTGCTCAGATTTTAGCTTTTGGCCTTTGCCCTTCTGTCTTTTCTCTTTTTTATTGTTTATTTATTATTATTATTATTATTATTATTATTATTTGGTTTTTTGAGACAGGGTTTCTCTGTAGCTTTGGAGCCTGTCCTGAAACTAGCTCTAGTAGCCCAGGCTGGCCTTGAACTCACAGAGTTCACAGCCTCTGCCTCCCAAGTGCTGGGATTAAAGGCGTTGGCCACCACACCCAGCTAAAAAATGTCATTTTACTGATTTGTTTTGTTTTGTTTTGGTTGTTTTTTTTTTAAAGGGGGATGGGTAGCATAGAGGTGGGGAACAGTCTTAGTGATTTTGTCACGTGAACTAAGCAGTGCCGGAAAAGAAAAAATATGTTCTGGGTTCAGGTTCAAGTTGTAATTTAACTGGAGGACCCCCAAGACTATCTCAGTCTGGGGCCTGGGGAAATGGTTCCATGGATAAGGGTGCTTGCTGCTCAGCCTGATGACCTGAGTTCAGTCTTCAGAGCCCACATGGATGGACACACACATGCTAAATAAATAAACGTGAAAAAGTAATTATATAGATATATATTACAGGGTTTCTCTGTGCAGCCCTGGCTGTCCTGGAACTCACTCTGTAGACCAGGCTGTCCTCAGACTCACAGAGATCCACCTGCCTCTGCCTCCTGAGTGCTGGGGTTAAAGGTGTGTACTACCACTGCCTGACAAAACAATATACTTTAAAAAGAATATCAGTCTAAGAGTTGAGAAGATAACTCATTTGGTAAAGTGCTTGCTGTTCAAGTAGAGGGGCCTGAGTTTGAGCCCCAGAACATACAGCAAGAAAGTGAAGCGTGTTAGTGTTGTTCTTAATTCCTGCAGGTTAGACGAGGGTTACGCGAGGAAAGACACAGACACGCGGCAGTCCCACGTGGATGCACTTTTAATGGAGGAGGGGCAACAAACAGGTGGGGAGGGGCGTGCAAACACAGTAGGGAAGGTGGGAAGGAAAAAGGGGCAAGAAGGGGCGAACTCGTGACTTGTCCTTTTAACGGAGGATGCAAAGGCTTCTGGGTAATGTGTCCCGCGCTTTTGTGCGCTGGAGTCCAGAGGGATGCTGGGAGTTGTAGTGTTGCAAGAGAACAACAGTTAGTGCACACTTAAATCCCAGAGCTGGAGAGGCAGAGACAGGCAGACCCCTAGGGCTCAGCCCAGCTTACTTGGTAAATTCCAGGGCCAAGCTGAGATCCTGGTTGAAGAAAGAAAGGGTGGAAGCAGCTGAGGAGTGACACCCGAGCGTGTCTCCTGGCCTGTTCACGTGGACAAGTGCAGTCACACACGCACCCACAGTCTGTGTGTGCATACACACCCCTAAGTCTGTTTCCTACTGAAGAACTGGATGCCACTCTTTGTATACTGTGCAGGGTGACGTTGTAGGTCTGGAGCGAGGTGGAGGGAAGACAGAGGTGATGGTGACCGAAGGGGTGACGACTGTGGTCTACACCCTGGACGAGGGCCTGATTGAGTTTGGAACAGTCATCGATGATGGCAACTACACCCGGTGAGAGCTGCTAACAGCCAGTGTGGTGCTGAGCCAGTGTGGGCCTAGCAGATGCCTGCAGTGACCCATTAAACTGTCACAGCTCAATGGGGCCCTGGAATCATGGGAGGAGCCTAGACAAAGGGCGGTGTTTCTGGCCTTTCTTCCCCCCTCCTGCTGCCCCAGCAGCACCAGGGTTCCCCTCTGCTCCTCCAGATCCTGCTTCACTCCTGAGCTTTCTTCCCTTCCTCTCCAGGGCAACAGCCTTCTTGGAGACCTTGGAGATGACCCCAGAAACAGAGGCAACGTGGAAAACCTTGAGCAAACTGGCCCTGGAGGCAAGGCAGCTCCGCACTGCTGAGAGGTAAGAGCTGTGGAACTGAATGCTGGCCACTAGGAGGCCTGTGGGCTGCTTCTGTCCTGTGTGTGAGCACTGCTTCCCACACACCCCAACAACATGAGCCCTTCCTGGTGCACTTACTCCAAACACCTTCCTACTCTAGATCAATATATCTTTTTAAAGATAGTTTTAAATTCTGTGAATAAGAATGTCGATGTGTGGGTTTGTGCATGTGAGTGCCAGTGCCTGCCAAGGTCAGAAGAGAGTTTTGAACCTCCTGGAGCTGGAGTTCCAGGCAGTTGTGAGCCGCCTTGGTAAAGGTGCTGGAACCAGACTCCAGTCTCTACAAGAGCAGTACACACTCCTGACTGCAGAGCTGTCCCTCTAGCTCTGAATATGTCCTAATGTTTTAGCTTCTCCTTTGCAAGGTTCTCCTTTAAGTGGTTGTTTCTTGTTTGTATTATTACTGTTTATATATTTAAAGTTTTTACATTTTTAAAATTTAGTTACTTTGAACTGGGTGTGTTTTAGTCACTTTTCGATTACTGTGGCAAAACACCGTGACCAAGGCAGCCTATAAAAGCCGCACAAAATGACCTTACAGTTCCATGATAGGAGCAGTGCGAGCACAGTGGCCTGGACAGCTGAGAGCTCACATCGTGGAACCAGCAAACAGACAGCACTGGAGATGGCAGAAAACTTTTGAAACAGCAAAGCCTCACCTGCAGTGACAAACCTCCTCCAACAAGGCCATACTTCCCAATCCTTCCCAAACAGTTCCACCTCCTGGGGACCAAGTCTTCAGACATCTGAGCCAGTGGGAGGCAGTCCCACCCACACTGCCACAATGTGTCTATGTGAGGGTCCATGTGTGGGTATGTCCACATGAATGATGGTCCCTGCAGAGGCCAGAGGTGTAGGATCCCCTGGAGCGAGAGCTTCAGGCGGTTATGAGCCTTCATATGTAGATACTGGGAATTGAACTCAGGTCCTCTGCAAGAGCAGTACACACTCTTAACCACTAAGCCATCTCTGCAGCCTGCCCAAGTCTTTTTAACATACCTCTGTGTCTTTCCTGGGTGTGGCACAGAGGTAATGAACACATTTGCGACCTCAAATTCCTTGAGTTCAAACGTTGGTTCAACTTTTCATCTTGTATAAACTTAGGTCATTCACCCTTTCCAACCCTGGGATTTGGTTTTCTTCATATAAAATGGGGGCACTGATGACAGTATTTACCACGTAGTATTATAAAGGAGAGTGGCGATGGTATTGGTGGTGAAGAACAAGAAAATCTGCAAAAGGCTTAGATGTAAGAGCTTAGTAATGTCAGCTGTTTCTGGGAAGCAGCTTGAGCTTTTTCATATATACCCCTCCTCCCTTTACCCCATGTAAGCTGTCCTCAAGTTAGCAGGACTCTATCTCGTCTGCCTGTGTGTCTGTCTGTCTATCTATCTATCTACTTATCTACCTCTCTGTCTGTCTACTTTTTACCTTTTAAGGTATATTTTATTTTTACGTATATGACTGTTTTGCTTACATAGGTACCCATGTATGGAGGTCCGAAGAGGGTATCAGAAACTGGAGTTACAGGTGGTTGTGAGCCACCTTGTAGGTGCTGGGAACCAAACTCAGGTCCTCTACAAGAGCAACAAATGCTCTTAACTGCTAAACCATCCTTCCAGCCCCAATTTTGTTTTTGTCTTGTTTTTTTCAGATTTTGTTTTTAAGCAAAGTCTTGTGTAGCCCAGGCTGGCCTCAAATTTCATATATAGCCAAGGGTGACCTTGGAGTTCTGATCCTCCTGCCTCTTCCTCTCAGTGCTGAGATTGCAGGCTTGCACTGCCTCGCCAATTTATTCAGTGGTGGAGATCAACCCAGAGCTTAGCGAACACTAGAGTGCTCTACCAGCTAGGCTACATCCCAGCCCAGGCCTTAGTCTTCACATGTATTCCCAGTCTGATATCTGTCTGGCCATACGACCACCAGTCCAGACCGCCAGCGTCTCCCACCTCAGTCGTACAAAAGCCTCTTCCCTAACTTTACTGATGTTAGCCATGTCCTTCAAAATCTGCCCATCACACAGTGGAGACACACAGTGTAGACCGGGTTGACCTCAAACTCAGTGATCTGCTCAGATTCCCCAGTGCTTAGGTTAAAAACCTGTGCCACGACATTTGACCTTTTTTTTTTTTGTTGTTTTAACTAAGGGGCTAGAGAGATGGCTCATCAGTTAAGAGCACTGCTTGCTCTCCCAGAGGTCCAGGATTCAATTCCCAGGACCCACCTAGAAACTTACAGTCTTCTGTAACTCCAGTCCATGGGATCCAATGCCCTCTTCTAGCCTTGGGGAACACCAGGTATGCATGTGGTGTACAGACCATGGAACATAGACATATATGCAGACAAAATACCCATACACATAAAATAAATATTTTTTAAAACCGTCAATATAGGACCGGCAAAATGTCTCAGTGGTTAAAAGGTCTTGCTGCAGAAGTCTACTACTGATGAGCGTTCAGTCCCCAGGACCCACAGTAGATGGACAGAATCAACTCCACAGGCACAGCATAACACAGGCATGCCTGCATCCACACACACGTAATACATACACAAATAAATTTTAAGACCATTTTAATTCTAGAGGGCTGTGGCTTGCCTAGCACGCATGACGCCCAGCTTTGATCCCCAGCACCACATATGCCAGACATTATAGCACATGCCTATAATTTTAGCATTTGGGAGGTGGAGGCAGGAGGATCAGAAACTCCTTGGAGCAAGTGGGCGAAGCCTGAAGATTTCAGGGGTCCTCGTGAACTCCAACCCTTGAGCTCCGGGCATTTGCACATCCAGTCCCACCCACCCCACAAGTGATCTTACGGCTGCAAAGAGAGTTCAATTATTACCCCTTTATTGATCTTAAATAAATTACGGGCCCATTCTCACTCCCCTCCTAGATAGTTCTTTGATTGCTAAGGGTGCAGGCAGTGGCTGAAGAGGAAGGGGCAGCTAGGTAAAGATTTGCAGGAACTCTTTAGACCAGCTATGTCTGGGTCTCTCCTTAGGGGAACTGTGCCGGAGCCTCCCTTGGGGCTGTGATGGGGTCTCGCATGGTGACCTTGCTGGTTCCTCTCTAAGTGTCGGCTCCTCTCAGAGTGACTGCGTCTGCTGTCAGAGGGGCTGTAGTGAGTTCTCTGAGAATGGCTGTGGTGGAGTCCGGAAGAAGGCCTGTGGAGCCTGGACCTAGAGGGACTGCGGTAGCCTCTTCCAGAAGAGCTTTGACTTGTCCTGCCAGAGCGTCTGGAAGGGGGTCTCTCAGAGAGAGTACCATGGCTCCATTCTGAAGGACTGTCCCATGTCCTCTGGATGGGACTGAGATGGCTCCTTTCGGAGGGGCTGCGGCATCTCTGATATGGGGGACTGTGTTGGTTCCTCCCATAAAGACCAAGCTGACCCTTGGGGGAGGGATTACGTCCCCTTCTCTCTCGAGGGCTACTAGGGGTACTACTACGAGGGCTCCTCCCTGAGGAACTGCAAGGCCTTCTCCCAGAAGGGCTGGGTTGGCTCCTCCCTGAGGGACTGCGACCTCTCCCCTTAGAGAGCCTGGGTGGGCTCCTGTCAGAGATACTCTGAGGGGTTCTTCTAGAGGGGCTGCCATCCTTCCTCTGGGGGGGACTGCAACATCTCCTCTCCGAGAGGCTGCTAAGGGTTCTGTCAGAGGGACTCCTAGGCTTTCTCTGAGGACTGTGGCTTCTCCGATGAGATCTCTCAGACAGGCTGTGATAGGTCCTGTGTTGTTCTTGCTCGTGTTTGAAGTGACTCTGCATGGTTCTCTTCAGAAGGGAGTCAGGCACGAGTGTCTCTTGGACCTGAAATTTGGCTCCTACTTTAGAACAGTTCTTAGACTCTGGACTGAAGAATTCATAGTTTTTCTTTGTTCTGCTGTTGACATTTAGAACTCTACTCAAAGGCTGTAGGATTGAAGTAGCTTGGATAACGACATTCCTCTCAGAAACAATGTTCTTCGCCAATTCCAAAGGTCTGGGTTGGAGAGAGCTCACTTGTTTTGATTGTTGAGCTTGGTCACATGTTTCCTGTAATCTGTCTTCTTTCTTAGGGGTGGAACCCATGAACTTTTGCTTGATAACAGGGGTGCTGGCCCCTCTGCCATCTCCTGTTAAACAATCATCCTCGTCTTTTTCTTCGGGGTACAAGTTTTTGCTTGACCACAAATTGTCTGGCCTAGCCCTGTCCTCAGGCTTCTGTCTGGTGATAGCCATAGCTCTATGTGCTCTTTGGAATGCCTGCTTTAGGCCCTGAAAAAGCATCTGGATGAACCTGGACTGGGAGGATTTCTTCGGTTGTCTCTTTGAAGAAACAGTGCTGGTTTGAGTGCGTCTTGATGGATCTGTCAGTGTTCCAGAAGGATACTCTTCTGTGGGTCTACTGTTTTTGTAGAGCTTTATGTTTTGCTTTTTAAGTTCCTTGGTGATTTTCTTCATTGGATATTTTAAGTCTGAGGTCTTACTGAGTCTTGACTTAGCCCATTTTTCATGCTGGTTACTCTTAGAGTCACTCTCTGACGCGGAGAGAACCTCACAGAATTCATAATGCCCAGAGTCTTTGGCTTCTGTCTTCCCTGCCACACCATGGCTGCCCCATTTCTTTTGCCTCCTGTGAACTGGTACAGAAGCCGGAGACTGGGAAGATCTGGACTGGAAATCTCTTGTAGAAGTTGGACTCTTGGAAGCTGGAGTATAGATTTTATCTTTCCTGTGCGATGATGAGGAAGGGTTCTTCGATGTGTCTGCTCTGTTTCTCCCACAATCCTTTGAGTCTTGAGGTCTTTTTCTAATGTGCAACCTAAAACCAAGATGCGTCCGGATCTCACCACGGCCTTCAGGGGTTTTTATAAGGTGGGTCTGTGGGTAGACGAGAATGTAAGCAGACTGGGACGTATGACCACATCCACATTCTGAAAATAGGCCGCACTGCAAGCAGATGGGGTATTTCAGGACAAGACCCGACTCTGAGGGTGGAGGGACGTTGTAGGGTATCTGACTCCGTAAGAGTTTTGCTGCTATCTCTAGCTTTAGATCTTTAAGCTCTTCTGAGAGCTCGGTATTGGTCTGGGAAAAATAACTTGCCTCGAAGGAGTGGTGAGTCTCGGAAGTTCCTGTTTGTGAATCGCTCTGGGAGATATTACTCGGCTCCCTGGAAACAGGATCTTCCCTACTGTAAAGTATCCCGAGGGAAGACTCTGGCTTCCCTAAGGCAGGAAACTGGGCCCCTGTACATGAGACAGGCACGTGCTGAGTGGCTTCCTGGAATATATCATTGAGTTTTGAGTTTGTTTTCTTTAGTCCCAATCTAGTCCCAGAGTACTGCTGTATTATGGAGGATGTGGATCCACGTGTCCACATCTTTAAGGGTATTCTTTTCTCGTGACCATGGCCTAAGATATGTCTCTGAATATAGTTTTTGACCACTGACGTCTGTGAAATCGTCCTTGGGCCCCTCTCTAGTAGGCTCTGGGAAAATTCCATCAGTTCAGCTGGAACCCCAAATAAATTCTGAATCGATTGGCAGATACCCATAGTGGCTCCTTCTGTTAAAAACGGTTGAGAACAAAGCTTTCTTCCCATAGTGGTTCCCAGAATATTCCCCAGCATCAGCATATTGGAGAGGTACTTCCTGGGTAGTCGCTGCCTACAGACATGGCTTTCCCAGATGTTCAGTTGTCTGCCCAGGAAAGAATGAATAGAGTTTCTTCGAGCTCCTAATCCTGCCTGAAACTCCAAGGGTAGTAATCTCAGTGGATACGGAGAATAGCTCTGCAGTGAATTCCCAAATTCTTCCATTTGCTTCTTTTCGGTTGATTCCTTAGTTATGACATCCATATCCCAGATCTCAGGATATAGGGATCCCACAGAGTTCCCTGTTTTATCAGAAGGAAGGACCAAGGGAAGAGCTGGTGACCGTATCCTAATAGTGTCTGTATAGGACTCTGGAGACTGCAAAATGCCAACATTAAAGTTCTTCATAGTCCGGGCTCTTGACACTTCCGGCATTCCAGAACCCTGAAGGGGCCCTAATTCACTTGTTTTGACAGAGCTTGAAATGAATGGGATCGGAGGGCTGCTTAGGAACCTAGAGAAGTAATTCTCTGCTTGTAAGTTTTCTGATGTTATCATTTCTGAATCTCTGTTCTGAAACGCCCGTCCTTGATTCAGATCCATTTCCAGTACTTTAGGAGATTCTCTTTTGAGTCCTACAGATTTTCCAGCCTGAAGCCTTTGCTTGTGAGTTAATACTGGAGGTTCCTCAAGTGGAGATGTTTGCTGTAAGATTAATTCTGGAAAATTTTCTTGAATATTTGCCCTTCGAGTTCGTTCTATAGGTTTTCTCTTGTCTTGAAGATGTGGTCTTGGGAGCAAATTCAAAGGATCCTTTACTTGAGTTCTTGATCTTGTGGCAACTCCTATTGGTTCTACAGCCTGAGGACTTGGTCCCGGCGCCAGCTCTTCGGATCTCGCAATCAGAAGCAGGGGCTTGGGAAGCAATATTGTCTTTATCACTTGAAAGCCTGGTAATTCTATCATTTCTAAAATCTGATGTGTTGGCTCTACAATTAATTTCTCAGTTTGCACATTTTG